AATAAATAAAATGAAGTCTCAAAAAATGGGTCAGCTGTAGTAAAATTTCAGGTGCAAATGCAAAAAAAACGTGGCTACCGAAGACAACGCTTTTCTAATAGCCGATGACAGAAATTTAAAGACTAGTAAAACTGTTTCAATAAGTAATCTTAATCCTCTTTTGATTCCTTTTAGAGCTCCTATACTAATTGGAGACAATTCAGTGAGAGAAGTATGAAGCTTCTCAAGCGAAGAAATAATGGGGAAACAACTCAGGTGATGAATAACATTCGCAAGAATCGACTATAGGAAATGAATTCCGCGACAGAAATAAAATAGAAAATTTTATGATGAAATATAGTATAAAAAAATTTACCAGAGAAAGTATTTGATCCTTATGTCCCTCATATCCGCCTAAAATTGCAATTGGTCCGTGAACTCGTATATTCCACAAACGTATGGTGGTATCCTTGCTGACAGATGCGAATATCATAGAATTATTGGGATCTGTACGCATCTCGTTAACATGATCTCCATGTCCATACATATTCTGCAGAAAAAGAAACCAGTTTTCAAAAATGTAAATCACAAAATAATTGCGAATCTTACCATCAATAAATTTCCCGAACTTGGATCAACAAGTCGAATTAGTCCAGAATAGCCACCAAACGCTATTCGATGAGCTTTGTCAGTAATATCGTAACACCATGTCAACGTGAATATATCCATATCAGGCTGCAGTAACGAACATAAATACATTGGACAACTTCAGTACTAGTTAGTATTACAGGAGTTTTGACACGTGAGTTAAGAGTGAGGAAATTGTATTATAAAGTGGGAACGTATGTTTTGTAACGATAGAAAAATAAGATTACCGAAGGATCTTTGATACTCCTAACAAGGACAATTTTGTTCGAATCCAGTGGACATTCATAAATAGTAATCTAAAAAAGAGCAATGTGAATAGTTTGCTTTCCCAAGAAGAACAATTCAAAAAGCCACTGATTAAAAATGGCAACCAACCATGTTTTTCGCCGCAGTGGCCAGCACCGGTACGCATCCATCCGGCTGATATGGGTTGAAAGCACACGCATAAATTGGTTGGCGATGTTGCTCCTAAAAAATTATCTTAGGCTGGTGTCAGAGTCCGCGATCCGTCGCAGGTTTCGCTGATTTGCGCGATTTGCGCGACGGGTCACGGAAATCACAAGTGCCCGATCAATACTGCAAGGTGTTCTCCAATCCGCCGCCACTTCTGCTTGATAGTGATGGCTGAATGACGACTGCCCTCATGATTCCACTTGTTTGATATTATAGAATCTAGAATTATAGGATAGAATAGGAACGAATCATGAGCATTTCAATGAACTGATAGACATTGAACATGAAACAAGTAGAATCACGAACAGTCGTCTTTCAATCTTCACTGTCCAAGCAGAATTCGCAGCAGGATTAAACAACACCTCGCAGTATTCATCGGGCACTTCCAACTCCTGTGATCCATCGCAGGTTTCGCGCAAATCGCGCTAAATTGCCAAAATCGCTGAAATCAGCGAAACCTGCGACGGATCGCGGACTCTGACATCAGCCATACCGGCGCTGTTACCCCACCTAATAATCTGATGTT